TCCATGACCATGCCAATGCGGCGCTCAGCAATCCCATTTTGCTGTGGAGAGGCCGGAAGCGTGAACGTCTGGCGGATGCCTTCCGCACGATAGAAGGCCCTCAGAAGGTCGGAGGAAAACTCTCCACTTCTGTCGGACTGCACACGCAGAACAGGAAGGTCCGAGCCGAAACTCTCGCTGAGCTGGCGACGGGCTGCGCGGATCCAGCCAATCAGCACCTCAGTGACCTCACCCTTGCAAGGGGAAGACTGTGGTGTAACGCGAGTAGTCGTCGACGACCAGCAGAAAGTAGCGCTCGTGACCCTGTCCACGGACGCGGGCTGGGCCCCACACGTCCATGTGAAGCGTCTGCAGGGGAGCCTCCGTCGGAGGGAACTCGGAGGAGTGAGGAGCGGCGCGTTGCCGCCCCTCGACGCAAGGAACGCAGGTAGGGGCAGGCCCCAGGGGAAGGGGAGGGAGAGACCGGGGAAGACCAGTGACAAGGACACAGGAGGCCATGCCTCAGAGACGAGGCAGGGAGGGGTGACCAAGGCGGTGGTGCCAGAGGAGAGTCTGGTGAGACAGGAGGCGACACGAGCAGGGGGCAGACTCAGGACCAGACCGGGACATTGCAGCAAACACCTGACCCGACGCGGCGACCTGACCAGACTCAGCAACCGGAGGAGACATAGTAGTCAGTGAGTACAGGCTCGACCCAGGCTACCGAGTGAACGTGGCCAGGTGTCGGCCCGTCCGTGTGCATGTACAGTGGGTCACCCGCTAACATCCAGGAGTGAACTGGTCAACCCACACGTCCTGAAGGTCAGCTCCACTCACCAAGTTCGTAGAGAACGAGGGGAGGTGAAGACCCGACAGTGAGCTAGACGGGACCACCAGACACGGCAGAACCGTAGAGGAGTGCGCAAGGACTGGACCCCCAGAGGGGTCAGCCAGGGAGACTGCAACCGGCCAACTGATCGGCGTGAGTGTGGTGCAGTCGCGAAAGAAGGAGCGTGAAGCTCCTGAGTCAAGCGTGAAGGTGTGCAAGGCCGCAGCAGGCGCAGTACCAGAGAGAGCAGACTCACCAGCACCTGGAGCAGTAGACTCACTAGCGCCTAGAGCAGCAGCCTCACCGGCACCTGGAGCAGGAGACGCACCAGCACCTAGAGCAGCAGACTCTATACCTGGGTCAGGCGGCACACACTGGTAACAGGCACCCTCAGCACTAGTAGGCAATGCATACATGGCAGTGAGGATAGCATCATAGTCAAGATCAAAGATTTCTACCCTCTGCCTAAGCAGCTCTAGCCAGGAGGGGAGCTCAGCGTCGTCGCCAAACTCTGTACGCCAGGCGTCGCTCAGACAGGAGAAGCAGCAGGACTCTATGTGACCAACCGTCCCGCAAGGCTGACCAGCCCGAGCACCTGTGCGAATGACGTACGGGCAGCGATCAGTACTCCGTGATCCTCTACTCTGAGCGTACCACTCACGAAGCTGCTGAGGCGAAAGGATCTCGCGTGGACGCCGCTGCAGCTGCACCTGGCCACTACAAGAAGCTCCCGAACGACCCGCTCCAGGGCGACTCCCACCACGGCCACCCCTACAACCCCAACTAGCGTACCACTCACGAAGCTGCTGCGGTGTGAGGGACTCACGCGGACGTCGCTGGAGCTGCATCTGGCCACCGCCAGTAGCAGCAGGAGGGGCAGTGCAGCAGTACTAGCAGTGACAGCTGGAACAGCAGTAGCAGCAGGGCAGAGCAGCGCGGCTCAGTAGGGCAAGGCGGCGCGGCTTGGCCGAGCGGCGCAGCTCGGTTGGCAGGCAGGCGCGGCACGCGCGGCAGCACGCTGGTAAGGCAGGCGCGCGGGCAGTGCGGGTAGGGCAGGTGCTCACCAGAGGCGGGTAGGGCCGATGCCACCGGCGGCGGTGGGCAGGCGCTCAACGGGCACGGGTAGGCCAGGGCCGGCGCTGGACGAGTGGCTGCAGGCGCTCGACAGGCGGCTACAGCGGGGCCGCAACGACGGCTACGACGGGGCCGCAACGGCGGCTGTAGGCACGACGGCGGCTACGGCGGGGCCATGACGGCGGTTGCAAACGCGACGGCGGCAGGGCAGGGCAGGGGCGGCCGCCCCAAGGGCAGGCGCGGGGTGGGGTAGGGCGCGGGCGGGCCGCAGATGAGGCAGGGCGCGGCGGCCCGGGGGGGGGGGGGGGGGGGGGGGGGGGCGACGAGCAGGGACGGCGCCCAGGGGGCGCCGCGACGAGTAGGGGCAACGCCGCGCGGGTCCCGCAGGGGCGTTGCGACGAGCAGGAGCGGCGCCGCGCGGGTCCCACAGGGGCGTCGCGATGAGCAGGGGCGACGCCCGGGTCCCGCAGGGGCTTGCGACGAGTAGGAGCGGCGCCGCGCGGGTCCTACAAGGGCGTTGCGACGAGCAAGGGCGACGCCCGGGTCCCGCAGGGGCGTCGCGGGGTCCAGGGGTGGCGTTGCGGGGTCCAGGGGCGGCGTCGCGGGGTCCAGGGGCAGCGCCGCGGGGTCCAGAGGCGGCTTCGCGGGTGCAGGACAGGCCCGCGCGCGGCTTGCAGGGCAGGGCGATGGGCAGGCGCTTGAGGGCGCGGGTAGGGCAGGTGCTCGAGGGCGCGGGTAGGGCAGGCGCTCTAGGGCGCGGGGAGGGCAGGCGCTCGAGGGCACAGGCAAAGCAGTGCGCTTCGGGCAGGGCAGAAAAAAAAAGTTCGTGGTGGGCCCTAAAAAAACGTTTCCACTAGGGAACCTGCTCTGAAACCGTGTTGAAAGTTAGAACAAGGGATGAATCAATTAGCAAACAGGTGGGTACAAGTGGGAAAACCTAAAAGTGTTGTACCCCATATTGTCTACCTCGCTACAGCCTACACAGACCATAGCATACAAGTTTGACAAAACATGCGTCCCTTGTCATGGCAGAGTGCAGGGTCGGGTTGAGTCGCTTAACAGGACAAGAGAACAACAATAAATAGGTACGGTAGTACTTCGAACTTGAAAGCTATCCTCTAGAAATCAGGTTGGGGGCATGAACAGCCCCTTGATACACCAGGAAGGAAACCTTGCGCTGCCTTGAAGAATCAGGATTTCCCTAACATCTTGCCCTGAAAAATCAAGGCATTCTTCCTACTTCTGGGGATTTGCCCTGAGGCATTAGGGTCCCCTAAAACGAATCTGAGGGCCTGGCGTGCCGCTTCTGTGATTCTCTCTGCTTCGTTGAGTCGCCATAGCCGGTGCCCTCTGCTGCATCGGGTCAATGACGGAAATATCTAGAGCCCACTTGATTCCTGCAGAAGGGTCAACGAAACTGATATCCACCACATGATCTGGCAGCAAGGTAGGGCCCTCGACACGAACAGTGAACCCAATCTCTCATGCTATCCTAGCGACCTCATGCTTTACTGCGTCGTGAATATGGGTACTGCGTCGTGAACATGAGTAGGCTCATGGAGGTTGGGCAGGGAAGGGCATGGCTAGGGAGGGTAGGGTCAGAATAGTGGTGTCCACAAGAGCATGGTGGTGCAAATTTGAGAAGGCGGAGCTGGGGAATGGGCCGGCCTAATCGTAGCTCCACTGCTATGAGCGAGCGTATTCATATCCTCGTATCAAGAGAACCTCATATCAACCTCCCACTGAAAATTCCCCTAAACCCAAAACCTCTCGCTAGTTTTACCAGGCAAAAAGTACAATCTTGATATGAGGTTCTCTTGATACGAGGATAGGACTGATGCGTCGAGCTTTGAGACACTTCCCATTGCATTGCCAGGGTAATCGACTTTATACTCTGCTTTACCTATTCCGAGAATCAGACATGCTCAGCTCACCCTAAGGGGGGATATGTTTTGGTATAAGACGAAACCAGAGCAGGGGCCTGATCAATCAGAGGAACAGTGAATTTCTTGTCATTCCCATCGAAATCAATTCGTTTCCTAACATGGATTACAAAAACCAATTTTTGATTAAAGCCCAAGTCTAGAATGGCGAGGGTTCAAGTTCAAGATTCTTGAACATGATTTCGCAGGTGAACAAGGTAACCTGCTTTTCTGTGGGGCTCTCTCGCGATCCACTGTGAAGGTGTTTGAAGCGCAGGAATGTGATTGGATAAAAGCACAACAGCAAAACCACTGACGACCCTCGCCAGAAAAAACAAAAACTGACACCACTGTACACACTTCCAGAAACTTGAAGCTTGAAGCTACCTTTCTAGACTCGTTCAGTAGTAGGCTCCGTAGCCCACAACATCGCCAGCTATCGATAACTACGCCCAGCACCTAGGACTTTAGGTGGGGACTTCCGTCGGGTTGCATGGCATAGGTCTCCACCGTCCCTCACGACACTCCTAATTCATCCGATCGCTCGCGGTAGGCGCAAGTGAAATCTCATAATCCATCTCTTCTTCTTGTATCCGCCGCTCCTCCTTCTCCAGTCGCACTCGTCCCTCCCGTCTCTCTAGTCCTTCTCATCGCTCCCGCTCTTCCCGTCGCCCTTATTGCATCTGTCCTGGGCGCCGCTCCCGTCACTCCCGTCCCAGTCATGCCTTCTGTCCCTCCTCCGTCCCTCCCGTCCTTCCCGTTGCGGACGTAAGTCCCGTCCCTCCCGTCGCCCAACACCCTCCATCCCTTCTGTCCCGCGCTTCGCTTCCGTCCCGCATTCGCTCCTGTCGTTCTCCTCCCTCCCGTCCATCCCTTACCTCTCCGCCGCTCGTCATCCGTCCCTCACTCGATCCGTCGCGCACTCCCCCCGTCGCTCGAACGAACCCACTGCCCAAACAGGGCAATCGTCTTGCGTCAGCTGATGACCTAGGTCCAGTCGCTCACACACTCCCGTTCCGCACACTCACTCTCGCCGCTCACGTACTCCCGACCCTCAATGTGTCCTGTCGCTCACACACTCTCTTCCCGTGCTCACTCACTCCGTCGCTCGCTCACCTTGTAGCGCGCGGCACTCCCGCCTGTCTCCACACCACGGTTTCAGTTCTCCTGCCTGGACCGCATCCTTTCATTTCCGCATGCAGTCACATCAATGGCTCTGCCATCTGTTCGTCGTCGCGCTTCTCCGCGTCTTCCGCCTCCAATCCTCCTTTCCCTCTCATTCCCTCTCCTCCTTTCCCTCTCAGTCCCTCTCCTCCTTTCCCTCTCAGTCCCTCTCCTCCTTTCCCTCTCAGCCCCTCTTCCCTTTCCCTCTCAGCCCCGCTCCTCCTTTCCCTCTCAGCCCCTCTCCTCCTTTCCCTCTCAGCCCCTCTCCTCCTTTCCCTCTCAGCCCCCCTCTCAGCCCCTCTCCTCCTTTCCCTCTCAGCCCCTCTCCTCCTTTCCCTCTCAGCCCCTCTTCCGTTTCCCTCTCAGCCCCTCTCCTCCTTTCCCTCTCAGCCCCTCTCCTCCTTTCCCTCTCAGTCCCTCTCCTCCTTTCCCTCTCAGCTCCTATCCTCCTTTCCCTCTCAGCCCCTCTCCTCCTTTCCCTCTCAGCCCCTCTCCTCCTTTCCCTCTCAGCCCCTCTTCCCTTCCCTCTCAGCCCCTCTCCTCCTTTCCCTCTCAGCTCCTCTCCACTTATCCCTCTTCTCACGCTGCTTCCCCGCTTCGTCCCCCACTCCCCTTGTCATTCCTTCCGTTTCCCCCATGCCCATTTCCCTCCATTTACCCCATTGTCTTACTCACTGTTTCATCCGTGCCTGAATCTTCCCTTCCCGTCACCATGCTTACCCTCCCATCCTCCCTCTCTGTTGTCCTTGCTTCTGCTGCATCCCTTCCCTCTTCAATCTCTCCGACTCATATCGCCCATCCCCCATGCTTTCCAGGAATAATCCCCACATACCGCCCAATGTCCGACGTCTATCCTCACATTCCTCTTCGCCTCCCTCATCCCATCCCTCACCACTTCCCTCCCTCCTCCAATCCCTCTCCATTTCCCTCCCTCCTCTCATGCCGTCAAACACTCATTCCATCACATACTTATTCTGTCAAACATTCGTATGCCCTGTTTCTCCCTCTGTTTCCCCTTGTCCTTCCCTCCGTTTCCCCCCTTGTCCCTCCCTCCCTCCCCCCTTGTCCTTCCCTCTGCCCTCCACCCCTTCCCTCCCTCCCTCCCTCCCTCCTCCCGTGCCTCCCCGCCCGTCTCCGCCTCACAGCTCCGTCTTCTCTCGATTCCCATCCCTCCTTTCTCCGCCTACGTCCTCCCATCGCTCACTCACTCGCTAAATTCATTTGCCGCTCGACACCTCGTCGCCCACGCGCTGCTCCCACTGCGCCCCACGCTGCTTCCCCACATTCCCTCCCACTCCCCTTGTCTGTCCTTTCGCTTCTCACATGCCCATTTCCCCGGGCCCGCTGCCCTCGCTCGCCTCACTCCTCTCCTCCTCCTCGCCTCTGCTCCAGCCTTATTCCCACACCACCACTCCCCTTCCCTCCCTTCAAATGTCCTCCCTTCTCACTCCAAGGTCTTCTCAAGTCGCTTCCCGAATTGCGACTCACAAAATGCATATGCAAGCACCACCACGCCCTTTCGCAGATATGAACCGGAAGAGAGATGCCGGTAATGGGCACAAGATGGATGAGGCAAGGATTTGTAGGAATAATTGACTTGACACTATCTCTTTTTTTTTTTTAATGTCCCTGGTTTCAAATCGTATTGAAATGTGGAAATCCTCTGTAATTAGCATTACTGATGCTCATTCAACCACACAAATTACGGTGTGTGAAAATTTTCTCCACTTTAGGATTGCTATCACGTCAGTCTTATATGCTGAAATAATTTTGTCAATCTGTAAGGAAAACCTCTTTTTCCTTACTTCGCGTCCCTGCTCAACGCGTACATCACTGTAGCGCCACAGTCAGCACCGTTACCACTCGCAATCCTCGCATCGACAATCCGCCCGCCACCTTCGCACGTCGCACCCCGACCTCACGGCTCGGCGGGTAACCCGCGCTCCGGGCCTCCGCTTCGACACTTTTCCCAACCTCAGTCCCAGGCCCGTCGCGCGACAACCACAGTCCATTACCGTTACCACTGTAGTTTCGCTATATATTCTTCGCTCATACCTTCGCTCATTGTACTCTTGTTTCGATAGTGCAATTCTCGTTCGTTCACTCAATTGCACTCGTAACACTTGGTGTTCAGAGCCTACGATCTCTTCTCGGACCGCACCCACACCTTCGCTTCCCCACTATCTCAATTTTTGGGGGGGGTAGACGTTTCTCAGCGACACAGCACCGCCGCTCGTAGTGCTCTCTCGTAAGCACGCACGGCCACGACCAGGGCCTCAGATTGGTTTTTGTGTACCCTGAGCACTCAATGTCCCTAGGCGGGTAACACTGATTTTCAGTGTCGTCTAGTGCGAAACACTGAATTTACAGGGTTGTTAGAAATAAAACGCTGATCAATCAGGGTTTCTACAACTTCAACACTGATCAGAATAGTTGCTTATACTGGTATGCTGTCATAACACAGCGAATCAGACTGCCCTCACTTTACAATTCCCAAATTCGGCCAGGATTCTGCTATTTCCGTGTCTGATTGGTCAGAAATCTTGTCTGACCAATCGAATAGGACAATTGTTAAGAATTGTTTCTGATCTCTGGTTGTGTACTTGACTGATGATTCGGACTTGGTTCGTCACAGCAGATTCGCCCTGACGGCAAATTCGACCTCGCACAGTCGTTACGCGCTGTCGCAGCACAGCAAATTCGCCCAATCACAGCAGATTTGCCCTGACACAGCAGCAGATTCGCCCCTCACACAAGAGATTCGCCCTGTCAGAGCATGATTCGCCAGAAATCCCCTTGGTGCACGGTGCACAGTGACGGCGCGCCAAAACAAGGAGTTTTCGGTTTCAGGGTAGACCCCGATACAACACCGACTCGTCAGTGTCCTCAAACACAAAACACTGAAAAATCAGAGTTCGAAATCTAAAAACACTGAAACATCAGGGTCGTTGAAAAAAAAAGGCTGATGCATCAGGGTCATGATAAAAAACGGGGGTCAAACTTCAGGAATTCAGGGTAAAATTCCTGACATCTGAGGCCCTGGCCACGACTGAGGCTCTCGCTGAGCTCGCCCGACACCCCCGCCATGGCCGAATTCACGCTCGCCACATTGACGCAGGAGCAGCTCGACCGTCTGGTGCGCCAACTCGAAGATTCGGCGCTCGAAATTGCGACGCTCACGGCGGAACGTGACTCCGCGCGTCCGCAATCAACGACGAACACTCCAGCGCCACCACACGCACCGACAAATGCATCTGCACAATCAGACGAGCCGATCGTCATCTCGTTCGGCACACCAACACAAAACAACAGCGTGGGACAGCGCTCAGGCGCAGCCAGCGATGGCGCCGCCCAGCCGATGCTTGGCATGGGAGGAAACAGGGTCGCACCAAGCCCGCGGGAGCCTCGCGAAGCCCGTCGGCACGTGGAGTTTGCGGCGACAAGTGGCGAACAGGCCATCATGGCACCAATGCCACTCAAGCCGCAACGCCCGCCCTGCTTCGACCCGAGCCAGCGTGGAGGTCCGACGGTTCAATCGTGGGTTTTCACGATGAACGTCTTCTTCGACGCGAATTACGTCGAGTCGGACGCAGCGAAGATTCGGTATGCCGTTTCGCTGTTAAGGGGCCCCGCCATGGACTGGTGGCGAGTCATCGTGACGTCGCCACGCGCCTACGAGCCACCGTCGCAAGAGGAAGGGCCCACGGGTCCAGCTGTCACCTGGAGTTCATTCTGCGAGACCGCCCAATACAGCACGTGGGATGCGTGGTGCGCAGGGCTTCGGGCGCGCTTCGAGCCGATCGCGGCTTCTATTTCGGCACGTCAGAGATTGCGCACTTGGCGGCAGCTCGGGTCGGTTCAAGATTACACGAGCGGCTTTCTCGCACTTTGCGAGCAGGTCGGCTACATGCACGAAGCGGAGCGGGTGGACCGTTACGTCGGAGGGCTGAAGCCGGACATCTCGCATGAAATCATGCTACGCGGGCTCTCGAACTTCAACGAGATTCTCGCGCTCGCCGAGAAAATCGACATTCTACGCCGACCGAGACCGGGGTCCTACTACGGACATCGTCCTCGGGGACCGATCGAGCACGCCACTGTAAACGCTGTTGCAACGAATGCAGCTGCCGCACCGTTTAAGGGGCGCTGCTTTGCTTGCAACAGGCCGGGCCATCGCAAGAGCGAATGCCCAGAGGAGCTAAGGCGCCGCGGAGCAGAGCAGGGGAGGGAGTCTCAGAGGCAGCGAAACGCCAGCAGTCAGTAGAAGTTGGGCCAACTACTGACGAGACTGCCTGCTCGCCCAACCGCACCGACCCTCACCGAGTCACAGTACCGATTCACGCCATCGATCGGGCTCGGATGAATAAGGAGGGTACAACGACGGATTGCCTAGTACTGATCCACGGGAAAATACAGGGAGCAGCAGTGAAGATTTTTATTGACGGAGGAGCAAGCCACAGTTTAGTTAATACCGCAACTGCGCGAAAATTACAATTGACACTTAGTCGCTGCTTACCTGAGATCGACGCACGCTTAGTTGATGGCACGCCGCTGGCCATACGGGAGAAGGTGGAGAGAGTAAAAGTTCGCTGCGGGGGAAACTTCGGGTTTACACAGGAAATGCTCGCGACGACATTGGATGGGCATGATGTTTTACTGGGACGTGATTGGCTACGACGGTACAACCCACGAATCGACTGGACGACGGGTAGCTGCACTGTGCGAAGTAGCGGTAACTGGGTCATGCTACCTCGCTGGCAGTCGCCCGAGTCGTCAACGGTCCACGTCAACGCCATCACGATGAAACGGGTTGTCGCCGCTGGAGCTGACGTGTACGCAGTAGATATAGCATTAGTAGGAGAAGCGGAGCAGCCGAGCGATTTTCAGAAACTGTTGGCAGCAGTACCGCCCGAACTACAGGAACTGTTGAAACGGTACCCGGGGATTTTTCCAGACGACTGACCGGAAGGGCTGCCACCTCAGCGGGCGCATGATCATAGGATCGAGTTAGAACCGGGGGCACAGCCAACTGTACAGCGCCAGTTCAGACTGACACAGCCCGAGCTCGACGAACTGAGGAAGCAGTTAGATTATTTGTTAGAGAAGCAGTTTATTCGACCAAGTTCGTCACCGTTCGCCGCACCGATACTGTTCACACCGAAAAAAGACGGAGGGTTTCGCATGTGCATCGATTACCGAGCGCTCAACAGGGTAACAGTCAAGTCGCGGTACCCCATTCCCCGTGCCGACGAACTGATCGACCAACTGCGAACAGCACGGGTGTTTTCGAAAATAGACTTACGGGGGGGTTACCATCAGATTCGGGTCGAACCATCGGACTGCGCCAAGACAGCATTTAGGACTAGGTACGGGTCGTTTGAGTACACGGGGATGCCTTTCGGGCTGACCAACGCGCCCGCAACATTCCAGATGACCATGAACGAGGCGTTTAGGCCACTCTTAGATAAATGCGTGATAGTTTACCTCGACGACATCCTCGTCTACAGTCGCGACAAGCAGCAGCATTTAGCGGATCTCGAAGCAGTATTTAAAGTTTTAGCGGAACATCGGTTACTAACCAAGGGCTCTAAGTGCGAGTTTTTTCGGGACAGACTAGAATTTTTGGGGCACGTTATTTCGGAGGCTGGAGTTGAAATCGACCCAAAGAAGCTGGATACGGTAAAAGCGTGGCGTCCCCCGACGAACATCACGAAACTGCAGAGTTTTTTAGGGTTCGTTAATTATGTTCGCCGGTTCGTCCCCGACATGGCACAGTTGACTGCCCCGCTGACGGATTTACTGCGAAAAGGGGTCGTTTTTACGTGGGGGGAGAAAGAGCATGCTGCCTTCTCTGCCCTGAAAAATGTTCTCTGTTCACCGCCCGTCCTGCGCATCGCCGACCCACACCGCCCCTTCGAGGTTGTTACAGACGCAAGCGACATCGCCATTGGAGCCGTACTGCTACAGGACTTCGGCAACGGCCTACAACCCATCGCATACGAGTCACGAAAACTGCATCCGCCCGAGCGAAATTACCCGATACACGACCGCGAAATGCTCGCGATCGTGCATGCGTTCAAAGTGTGGCGCTGCTACTTGACCGGCGCAGACGTGACAGTACGGACAGACCACCGATCACTACAGTACCTCCGCGCACAGCCCCACCTCAACCCACGACAGATTCGGTGGCTCGATTTCCTCGAGTCAAACTTCCACTACACAGTCACCTATAAAAAAGGAGCCTCGAACATCGCCGACGCACTGACCCGCCCCACTGCCCAGATCCACGCGATACTACTCGCCCAGACCAGCCCGCTACTGACAGGACTATTTACCCACGGATATCAAACGGACCCATTCTTCACAGGAGGAAATTCGCAGCAGTTCGCAGCAGCCAAAGGAGTCTATTACGTAAAAGCCGGGACCGACCGCATCTGGGTACCAGGGTACACACTGCTACGGGAATTACTATTACAAGAGGCACACGACGGGGTTACCTCGGGACATTTCGGGGTAGAGAAAACACGGCAGCAGCTGCAGCGGTATTATTACTGGCCCGAAATGTTGACCGACGTGCAGCGACACGTGGCATCGTGTCCCACTTGCCAGATCATGAAGTCAACACGGAAGCGGCCGGCGGGACAGTTGCAGCCAATCCCACCTCCAGAGCGTGCTTGGCAGCAGGTGACGATGGACTTCGTCACGGGGTTACCGGCCGGGGCGAGTGGAAATGACGCGATCCTGGTCATCGTCGATCGACTGACGAAAATGGCACACTTCGCAGCCTGCAAAAAATCAATCACAGCCGAAGAAACAGCCCGCCTCTTCATCTCTACCGTCGTTCGACTGCACGGGATACCAGCATCAATCATCAGCGACCAGCATCAATCATCAGCGACAGAGACACGAAATTCACCAGCAACTTCTGGCGGAACCTGTGGCAGCAATTCGGCACGCGACTACAGTTTAGTTCATCGTACCACCCCGAAACAGACGGACAGACAGAACGGACAAATCAGACCATGGAACAGCTCATCCGGGCCACGTGCGACGACCCAAACACGTGGGAACAGCAACTGCCACTCATCGAATTCGCATACAACAACGCCCCATCCGCCACGACCCAACAGTCACCGTTTTACCTGAATTACGGACAAGACCCAACAGTACCTATGACCCCGAATCCCGACAACCCGGTTCCACGCGCGCAACAGTTCGCCGAAATTTTGCAAGCAGCACGGACCAGGGCAGCAGACGCAATTAAAAAAGCTAACATCATCGCTAAACGCAACGCCGACCGCCACCGCAGACCTGTCACTTACCAGCCCGACGACTTAGTTTTGCTCGACACCAAAAATCTCCGACTGCCCATCACCCCGAAACTCCGCCCCCGATACTGCGGGCCATTTCGCATAAGCCACTGCTTACACCTGTCACCCGCCCACCTCCTCCTCCCTGCTGACTGGTACGTCAGTCCCTCGTTCCACGTCAGCCTGCTTCGCCCTTACGTCCCGTCCACGAGCCAACTGCCACGCAATCGCCCAGCCAGCATGACAAGACCACCGACTGAACCAATCATCACCCCCGAGAAAATCCTGAGTCACAGAGTTCGCGACCCTCGAGGAGCCCGAAGGATCGAGTTCTTACTCCGCTGGAAGGAACGTACACCCACCGAAGACAATTGGGTTCCCCTGGACAGAATCGAAAACCACCGCGTCCTCACCGAATATCTGCGCAGCCGGAATTTCAGGGATGTACACGCACTTTCGTAAGGAGGACCTCCTTAAGGGGGGGGGTAGTGTAAGGAAAACCTCTTTTTCCTTACTTCGCGTCCCTGCTCAACGCGTACACCACTGTAGCGCCACAGTCAGCACCGTTACCACTCGCAATCCTCGCATCGACAATCCGCCCGCCACCTTCGCACGTCGCACCCCGACCTCACGGCTCGGCGGGTAACCCGCGCTCCGGGCCTCCGCTTCGACACTTTTCCCAACCTCAGTCCCAGGCCCGTCGCGCGACAACCACAGTCCATTACCGTTACCACTGTAGTTTCGCTATATATTCTTCGCTCATACCTTCGCTCATTGTACTCTTGTTTCGATAGTGCAATTCTCGTTCGTTCACTCAATTGCACTCGTAACACAATCACACATTCGACTTTCAGGTGTGATCTCTTGGACCCTCGATGTTCTCGCCTTGTGGCACTTTTGTCATTTGTGCAGCCTTCAAGTTTCTTGAACTCGAAAGTGGCCAACAATACACAGGGTCGTATTCGCCGCTCGTCACCTTTCGCCCAGGGCTGACGTTTCGTTTTAGGACTCCCTGATTCCAGTAAAAAATTTGACCCTCTATTATGAGGGCACATTTTTCGCAAGGTAGCTACCCTGATAGCTCAGTGTCACACGAAGTCCAACTCTGACCGGACAGGGTTCACAGCTCAAAAACAGGGTTGCTATTAACAGTGCACTATTTTCCAAAATGATACAACTGCATGCACTTTCCTACTCTATCTAGTCTAGTGCACGGGCTTGTCTATGAAGTACACCTCCTCCACATCCTCATCGTCCGAGAAGGAATGGATTTTCCTCCGCTTCCTCCTCCCCCACGATCTCCTGATCGTCGCTGAAGGCCTGTTCCACTTCATCGTCCTCCTCCTCCTCCTCCTCCTCATCCTCATTCTCCCCGGCATTTCCAGCAGCCACATCTTCACCCTCCTTCTGCTCCCCCCTCCTCTCCCTCTCTGCCACAGCCAGCTTCAAGCTCTTCGCAGGGCGCCTCCTCCGCAGGGACCTCCACACCTCCAGTGCCTCCGGCCAGTCGATCTCATACTCGAGGAGCGATATCTGCATCAGCTCCCCCAGACGCACGTTGCACAGCGCTCCTCGCACCCAGGACTTGATGACGTTCTGCCTGGAGAACCCCCTCTCGCACTCCACGGTGGAGAGGGGGAGCACAGCCAGCGCCTGCCACAGCAGGATGAGGTTGGGCCATCTCCTGCCAGGCACATTCGTACACACAACACAACGGAAACAGTTAGCGATGCGCAACAAGATTGTAAAACCCATGTTAGCAAAGTATAGGCTACCTCTTGGAGTCTGCGCTCCCAAGGAAGTTGGACAGGCCCTGGGTGAAGCTCTTCATCTCATGGTGTGCCTCCATGATCGCGCAGAAGGTTGGAAGCTCCCTCTCTGCTGCTTTGAGGTCGAATCCCAGCAGCTTGTTGCGGAACAGCCTGCTGCATCCGTTCAGCCACTCCTTACACTTCTTCTCTCGCTGGGCCTTGATCTTCGGCCACTTCCCCGCCTGGAACAGCTTCGTCGGCCCCAGCTTCCCAAGGTCATCCAGTCGGTTGTTGAGGTTGTCCACGCAGTCACGGGCGAATTTGCGGCACAGCTTCACGCAGTCTGCGTAGGTGCTTCCGTGTTTGTGCCCCTTCAGCTTCCGCTCATGCATGGTGTACAGGTGGTTGATCGGGCGTCCAGCACCGTCCACGCCGCGCACCCGGACCTGCTTGCCTCCACCCTCCTTGTGAACTTTGAGGAAGTTCACCAGCCAGCTCTTCCCTTCGCCCCCGAAAGCTTTCTCTGGCGTCAAGTAGCGCTCCGTCAGGTCACTCGTTGTGGACTCGATCGTCTTCGCAATCACAGTCACGTCCAGCTGTGTCAGAGCAGGGGTAGACAAGAGGGAGAAGGATGAGCAACAGTGCAGTTACGAACCTCACGTAGCAACATCATACAAACATGCGACCTCACCTCTCGTCTCTGGAAGCAGCGGTTGAGGTCGTTCATGTCCGCCAAGATGTCGGCCAAGAAAAACAAGCAGAACTGAAACTTGTAGCAGGTGACAATCTCGTACGCCTTGTGATTGTGCTCCCAGAGCAGCACGATGCAAGCGCCGAGGACCTTGCACAGCCTGGCCACCGCATCTCCTCGAGACAGCCACCGCACCGTGTGGATGCCTTGGACTTCCAGGTTGGTCTTGTAAATGACACGCTGCAGGTACTTGAACCGCTGACTCCACACGATGGAGTTTCCGAGCAGAGTCGCCACAGTGCGCACCACCTTGTCGACCATGCCGAGATCCGGGTTTGAGTCAGCGGCGTCCTTCACAGCCAACGCCTCACTGTGAAAACCAGGGAACAAGTATTATGGTTTGTTAGTAAACCAATCAGCGTAGATAACATGCTACAATACAGACCAACTCACATACCGATGGGCGATGCAGTGGCATGAGAACAGATGAGGGACGTGTTCACGAAGACGCGCCACCAATCCGTTCTCTCTCCCGGTCATGACCGACGCCCCGTCCGTGCTGATGCCGACGATCTTGGACACATCGACGGCAGCGGAGCGAAGATGGTTCAGAAGCACCTCAAACAAGGACCCTGCATCACACCGCTCGACCGTCAGCAAAGTGAAAAACTCGCATGCAACTTGGCGGTTCTTCAGAAAAGTAAGGTACACAATCAGAGAAGGATGAGCAACAGTGCAGTTACGAACCTCACGTAGCAACATCATACAAACATGCGACCTCACCTCTCGTCTCTGGAAGCAGCGGTTGAGGTCGTTCATGTCCGCCAAGATGTCGGCCAAGAAAAACAAGCAGAACTGAAACTTGTAGCAGGTGACAATCTCGTACGCCTTGTGATTGTGCTCCCAGAGCAGCACGATGCAAGCGCCGAGGACCTTGCACAGCCTGGCCACCGCATCTCCTCGAGACAGCCACCGCACCGTGTGGATGCCTTGGACTTCCAGGTTGGTCTTGTAAATGACACGCTGCAGGTACTTGAACCGCTGACTCCACACGATGGAGTTTCCGAGCAGAGTCGCCACAGTGCGCACCACCTTGTCGACCATGCCGAGATCCGGGTTTGAGTCAGCGGCGTCCTTCACAGCCAACGCCTCACTGTGAAAACCAGGGAACAAGTATTATGGTTTGTTAGTAAACCAATCAGCGTAGATAACATGCTACAATACAGACCAACTCACATACCGATGGGCGATGCAGTGGCATGAGAACAGATGAGGGACGTGTTCACGAAGACGCGCCACCAATCCGTTCTCTCTCCCGGTCATGACCGACGCCCCGTCCGTGCTGATGCCGACGATCTTGGACACATCGACGGCAGCGGAGCGAAGATGGTTCAGAAGCACCTCAAACAAGGACCCTGCATCACACCGCTCGACCGTCAGCAAAGTGAAAAACTCGCATGCAACTTGGCGGTTCTTCAGAAATGTAAGGTACACAATCAGAGAAGGATGAGCAACAGTGCAGTTACGAACCTCACGTAGCAACATCATACAAACATGCGACCTCACCTCTCGTCTCTGGAAGCAGCGGTTGAGGTCGTTCATGTCCGCCAAGATGTCGGCCAAGAAAAACAAGCAGAACTGAAACTTGTAGCAGGTGACAATCTCGTACGCCTTGTGATTGTGCTCCCAGAGCAGCACGATGCAAGCGCCGAGGACCTTGCACAGCCTGGCCACCGCATCTCCTCGAGACAGCCACCGCACCGTGTGGATGCCTTGGACTTCCAGGTTGGTCTTGTAAATGACACGCTGCAGGTACTTGAACCGCTGACTCCACACGATGGAGTTTCCGAGCAGAGTCGCCACAGTGCGCACCACCTTGTCGACCATGCCGAGATCCGGGTTTGAGTCAGCGGCGTCCTTCACAGCCAACGCCTCACTGTGAAAACCAGGGAACAAGTATTATGGTTTGTTAGTAAACCAATCAGCGTAGATAACATGCTACAATACAGACCAACTCACATACCGATGGGCGATGCAGTGGCATGAGAACAGATGAGGGACGTGTTCACGAAGACGCGCCACCAATCCGTTCTCTCTCCCGGTCATGACCGACGCCCCGTCCGTGCTGATGCCGACGATCTTGGACACATCGACGGCAGCGGAGCGAAGATGGTTCAGAAGCACCTCAAACAAGGACCCTGCATCACACCGCTCGACCGTCAGCAAAGTGAAAAACTCGCATGCAACTTGGCGGTTCTTCAGAAATGTAAGGTACACAATCAGAGAAGGATGAGCAACAGTGCAGTTACGAACCTCACGTAGCAACATCATACAAACATGCGACCTCACCTCTCGTCTCTGGAAGCAGCGGTTGAGGTCGTTCATGTCCGCCAAGATGTCGGCCAAGAAAAACAAGCAGAACTGAAACTTGTAGCAGGTGACAATCTCGTACGCCTTGTGATTGTGCTCCCAGAGCAGCACGATGCAAGCGCCGAGGACCTTGCACAGCCTGGCCACCGCATCTCCTCGAGACAGCCACCGCACCGTGTGGATGCCTTGGACTTCCAGGTTGGTCTTGTAAATGACACGCTGCAGGTACTTGAACCGCTGACTCCACACGATGGAGTTTCCGAGCAGAGTCGCCACAGTGCGCACCACCTTGTCGACCATGCCGAGATCCGGGTTTGAGTCAGCGGCGTCCTTCACAGCCAACGCCTCACTGTGAAAACCAGGGAACAAGTATTATGGTTTGTTAGTAAACCAATCAGCGTAGATAACATGCTACAATACAGACCAACTCACATACCGATGGGCGATGCAGTGGCATGAGAACAGATGAGGGACGTGTTCACGAAGACGCGCCACCAATCCGTTCTCTCTCCCGGTCATGACCGACGCCCCGTCCGTGCTGATGCCGACGATCTTGGACACATCGACGGCAGCGGAGCGAAGATGGTTCAGAAGCACCTCAAACAAGGACCCTGCATCACACCGCTCGACCGTCAGCAAAGTGAAAAACTCGCATGCAACTTGGCGGTTCTTCAGAAATGTAAGGTACACAATCATGTGTTTCCCTCGCGTGCGGTCAGTGCTCTCGTCGCACTGGATGCCCAGGAACGGTGATGCCAGGACGTGGTCCATCTGCACCCGGGTGAGGTAAGTGCTCATGCTGTGGACCATCTGCTGGAAGCCGTAGCTGCAACAAAGGACAGAGAAATTATCAGTACACGATAGTCAAGCAAGTTGTTTGACGTGCATGTTTAAATTTGCAATCAATTTGAACCGTCACTTACCGCGCGAGATAAACGCCGTACGACTGCCGGGGAATGTCTGGCGTGTCCTGCTCCGCAAGATGCCGCATCAGCTTAGGAAACATGCTAATCGGCGCGTCGCACTGGCACAGGAACTGAGTCGACCGCATCAGCCGTATCGCGCGGCGGCCCTCGACGTCGGAGTTGATGAAGTCCGAAATCACCTGCTGCCCCTCGCGGATTCCCGCCGCAATCTTCATCTGGCGGTCCACCGCCGCCATGTGTGCGTCCGTATGCTCGTGCGCCCGGAACGACTGCGTCTGCAAGTCACGGCCTCCGTCGTCTCCCTGCATGGCGTACCTCGTGTTCCCCTTACCGTACGACATGCAGATGCTGCACTTCACGTACGGGAAACCGTCCTTGGTTTTCCCAAACACAAGCCAAGAAAAGTATCCCGCCCACTTCGTCTCGTAATTAATACTCGCCTCCAGGTACATCTGCTCTCGCAGCTGCGTCTTGGTGAGTGCCGGCGAGCCGGTATCCGCGCGCACCGGGATGTCACCTTCTTCCGGCAGCTCAGCTTCTTTCTGTGCAGGCTCATCGGGCTTTTCCGGCGGTGGAATACGGCGGCCTCCCACCAGCAGAGTACTCTGCGCCCACTTACCAGATCGCGCACGCTTGGGAGCGGAAGTAGCCGACGGCGGGCCAAGGGACACCCGCACCGTGCTTGGAGTAGGACTGGGCGAGGGCGGTGGAGGATCTTTGCTGCAGCCAGCAACAGCCGGGGGGAGAGTGAACGGGACGGGAATAGGAGAAGCAGTAGGAGTAGGGGTTACTACAGGGGCAGAGTCGTGAACGGTAGACCTAGGCGGTTCAGGTGTGACGGGAGCAGCCGTAGCTCTAAGAAAATCTAGCCCAGAGCGGGGAGCATCCGAAGCTTTCTCCGGCTGGGACGGCGCTGTTGGTTTCGCTGTTACAGGCGGCTCGTCGGGGCCAGTGTCCGGAGCAGCTTCGTCGGCCGGCATGGCCTCCATTGGTGGCTAAACTGAACGAGAGGAAAATGAGACAATGAATGCACGGAATGGAAAGAAAACACCAGTGAACAAAGGAACGTTGGCTGTTGGTAGGGGGAGGGAAGGGAAGGTTGGAGATGGCGGGAGCACGAAACCACCGCGCCGCGATTCCACGGACTTGATGGCAACATTCGATGATGAATTCGTCGTTGCATTCAAGGCCGAATTCATTCACGGACTCCTTGGCTGCCACCGCATGCTGTCAACAGGCCATTCTGGCCAATGGCAGACACATGCTGTGCACTCTGCGGTGCGCGTGGCAGCACCGTATCATTGATTTGGCTGCGTTGGCGCTGTTGCCAGCTGTGATGTACAGCACGTCAGTGTTTTCCTTTGTCGGTATTACGTCACTCACGGGCGCGTGAAGGGGGTACCTCACATGGGGCCACTCGAAGAAATGATTACGCACAAGGGGGTTATCGAAACGAAGCTTCTAGGAAACTTCGTCCCGATACCCTCGCATTCAGGGTCCACGGAACGCATACCCTGCATAGACAGAGTCCGCAACTACACTACTCTGAGCCTAGTTACAAGAATTCAGAGTCCGTTAAGTAGCTTCTCTGATTGGATCAGAGTTCACAAAATACAAAACCTGAGTTTGCAGGGACCACCAAGTCAGAAGCCTGTAATCACCCTGAAATCAGGGTAATTACCCTGATAAAATCAGCCCTGCTTTCGCCATCCTGGTTTAGCGAATTGAACTCTCGCCACCCTTCGTAAACCACTTTCAACTTCAGTATTTATGAAACATTGCCATTCTAGACTCGGGCTTTAATCAGATGTTCCCTAGAAATGCAGACTCCCATCTGAGGGAAAGCCTTGTAACGAAGTATAAAGCTTTGTAAAAAAAAGACGAAATAAATTCAGTATTCCTATGGATCACACAAAATCAAGGTCATTGTTGAAAAAGTATGATAAAATTATTTTCTGAAAATAGAACCATTAGATCGATTTGGTCTGATAAGAAGGGCCCAGCTTCCTACCTGTTGCTCATTTTTGTGTGTGCGCGGTGTAGCCGTGAATCAGACTACATCGAGATGAAGTACTTACCAGGGCGGAGCCTCGCCTCCAGACCTTGAACTCAGGTACGTACTCGAACCAGCCTCTATGTTTCTCAAACCAGATCCGTGCTTCGGTTTGCAGGGGCCCGAAGCAAGTTGCTGCTTGGGAGGTAGCTTCGACATTCTTAAACGACTGCTATGTTCATACGAGCCACGGCGGAAAAGCACGGGCGTAGGCGCTCGCTTGCGTTCGCGTGGCAGCCCCGAGGTTATCCCAACCGCAACAGTCTGATTGAGGGTTTTCCGTGTTTTCTTCGGTTTGGTTGGTTGGCAGCTGTGGTCAGTGGGGGTCAGTGATGGTACTGTACGGCGGCTGCGCAGCACACACTCCCCTCCCCTCCCCCACACACCCACCTCGCTCAACTGACTGATGCGTGCGTGCCTTGGGGTTGTCGAACTCCACTCCAGCTCCTCCTTCCCTCCCACCCCTTGCGTTTCACTTGAGTTTTCCACGAAGGCCTTTCAAAGGCGAGCAGCGCGAGGTGCTCAGGAATGGTGAAGTTTTGTAAATATTTATTAAAATTAATAATTATTGATCGGTTTTCCATGAAGGCTGGTGATTAACAACTGATTCCCAAACCGCGTTGTCGCGAAATTGGGTGACTAGCATTAACTTAATTTTGATCTGCACTCGAGGGCGACGTTGGTGTATGCAAAGCGCGAAGCCTTCGCGGCATTACAATTTATGGCCTTCAGTTTATTAACATTTGACATTCTGCTTAGAGATTAGGCTAGACCTTGTTGATGTCTTCAATACGTCGAGCGAAAGTATATTAGTACCTGCGAAATTGATTCGTTATGGATGGCGACGGATCGGCGAAAGGTGGTGACGACGATGGTAACAAGCCGTACGAAGAAGGCGAAGATGACTACAACGTGGGAGATGACATGTACGGAGACGAAGGTGATTATGGCGAGGAAGGTGGTGCCGAGGGTTCAGGAAAAGGACGGCCGCACCCCCCTGGCGATGGGCTTCACGAGGGGGGCGACGGCGAAGAGTACGGCGAGGAATACGGCGAAGAGGACGCAGAAGGAGAATATTACGAGGAGGAAGAGGGTGTTGAGGGGCAGAAGGTGGGAGGCGTGAAGGGCGAAGGAGAGGGGGAATACGAGGGGGAGGAAGGGGACTGGGAGGGCGAAGGCGAGTATTACGATGAGGAAGGCGAATACGTGGAAGGGGGTGGCGATGGTGGAGCGAAGGCGGCTGGCGAGGGAGAGGAGCACTACGAGGGCGAGGAGGGGTACGGCGAGGGCGAGGAGGACGGGGAGTGGTACGGGGAAGAAGGCGAGGGGCACGCGGAGGGCGGAGGGGGCGCGGAAGGTGGGGCGCACGCGGAAGGGGAAGAGTATGCAGAAGGGGGGGAGTACGGGGAAGAGGGGGAGTGGGATGAGGAGTATGGTGAAGAGGGTTATGGGGAGGAGGGGGAGTATGCGGAAGAGGGGGGAGAGTACCCGGAAGAAGGGGGAGAATATGCGGAAGAAGGGGGAGAATACGCGGAAGAAGGGGGAGAATACGCGGAAGAGGGAGGAGAGTATGCGGAAGAAGGGGGGGAACACGCGGAAGAGGGGCGCGAAGAGGAAGGTGGTGGTGATGTTCTTGCGGAGGGGGCAGAGGGGGGCGAAGTTGAAGAAGAGCTGCCGCGGGAAGAGGGGGATATGTATGCGGAAGGGGAGGACATGTACGGGGAAGACGGGGACATGTACGACGAAGAGGATGAGGAGGCGGGGGAGGAAGGAGTGGAGGGGCAAGGCGGAGGAGGGGGGTTGGGGAGGGGCAAGAAAGAGAGCGGCAAGGGCAGCGCGGAAGGGGCTGAGGGCGGAACGGAGGAGGCGGATGAACGGTTGGGGGAGGACGATTTGCACCCGGAGGAAGAGGGGGGTTACTTGGAAGAAGAGGGGGAGTACCCGGAGGAAGAGGGGGCATACCCAGGGGAAAAGGTGGAGTACCCAGAAAAAGAAGGAAAATTCCCAGAAGAAGAAGGGGAATATCCAGAGGAAGAGGGGAAGTACCCAGAGGAAGAGGGGGAGTATCCAGAGGAAGAGGGGGAATACCCAGAGGAAGAGGGGGAATACTTGGAGGAAGAGGGGGAATACCCGGAGAAAGAAGGAGAGTACCCGGAGAAAGAGGGGGAATACCCAGAGGAAGAGGGGGAATACCCGGAAGAAGAGGGGGAATACCCGGAGGAAGAGGGGGAGTACCCGGAGGAAGAGGGGGAATACCCGGAGAAAGAAGGAGAGTACTCGGAGAAAGAGGGGGAATACCCGGAGGAAGAGGGGGAATACCCGGAGGAAGAGGGGGAGTACCCGGAGGAAGAGGGGGAATACCCGGAGGAAGAGGGGGAGTACCCGGAGGAGGGGGGACAGGAAGGGGAGGAACCGGGGATGCAGGAAAGGGAGGGGGGGCTGCATGAGGAGGACGGCGCAGAGGGGGAGGCGGAGGAAGGAGTGTGGCGTGAAGGCGGCGACGAGGAGGAGGGCGCGAGGGCAGTGCTGTCGGAGGGGGAGGAGGAGCGCACTGAAGCAGCCGCGGAGGAGGGGCAGAGGGAGGATGCGGGTACGGCGAGTAAGGGCGAGGGAGTTGCAAGCAGGGCACGCGGCGAGGAGAGTGATGCAGAAGATGCGGATGATGGGGGAGGTGGCGCCGCAGAGGTGGCGAGCGCGGAGGGCGAGGATGAGCGGGGGGACGAGGGCGGCGAGCAGAGGGTTGGAAACGACGATGAGGGCGCTGGGCTTGCGGAGGAGGAGAGGGAGGGGAGGGTGGGGGGAGGGGAGGAAGAGGTTGAGGAGCGTGGCGAGGATGCTGAGGCAGACGGAAGGGACGTTGCAGGCCGCAGTGCTGGTGAGGGGAGCGACGAGGAGGGTGATGGGCGCAGTGACGGTTGGCAAGGGTCACGTGGGAGGGCAGGCAGTGAGGACGAAGGGGGCGACGGGGAGATGGGGAGGCGGAGAGCGAGTGAGGATGGCGGGGATGGGGAGGGAAGGGGAAGGCTGTACAGTGATGATGATGAGGAGGAAGGGGGGTACGGTGGACGGCGAGGGGAGGGACGGGGCGAGTACAGCGAGGATGAGAGGAGTGATTACAGCGACGAGGGAGCGGGGCGAAGGGGAAGGCGACCCCTGTACAGTGATGAGGAGGATGAGGGCGCGCGCGGGAGAGATGGGGAGCGGCCGCGGGGAAGATACAGTGACGATGAGTACAGTGATGAGGACAGGGGGTACGGGCGACGCAGGGACAGGCGTGCTGGTGATGAGGATGAGGATGAGGATGAGGAAGGAGAGGGGTACAGGCGGAGAGAGCGGTATAGTGATGAGGAGGATGGCGACGAGAGGAGGAGAGGACGCTACAGTGACGAGGAGGAGGAGGAAGAGAGGTACAGGAGGCGAGGGGAGAGGTATAGCGAGGACGAGAGGTCGGAGGGTGCAGACGAGGAGGCCGTGGAAGGAGCAGAGGGGGAGGGAGCAGGAGGGGATGGGGAGGGAGGTGCGGGTGCAGTGGATGCTAAGGGCACTGGGGAGGGCGGCGAGGAAGAAGACACAGCTTCACATGGCGCGGAGGGTGGTGAGATGGTGGGGCAGGAGGACGAACGGCACAGCGAGGAGGACGAGCAGGGCGGTGAGGAGGAGGGGGGAGTGGACGGCAAGGCCACACGTCCCCAGGAGCGGAGTGAAGGGGAAGTGGACGCGGGGGAGGATGCAGGCGAGGAAGGGACGGATGCGCTTCAGAACGAAGGGGAGTGGGAAGGGAAGGAGAGTGCTGGGGAAGAGAAGAGAGGTGGGGCAAATGACGTGAGTGGTGAGGAGGAAGAAGGGGTAGGAGGAGGCGCATCTGGTGCTGATTTTGGTGAGCTCATGGGGGAGGAACGACAAGGGGAGGCGAAAAGGGACTTGCTCAGCGATGGT